TTTAAAGCTGAACTCTGAGAAATAAATAATAATTTACACATCACGCTAGGAGGAGTGTAAATTACCACTAAAAAGCTTTAGATCATTTGGAGAGGGCTTCTGCAAAGTAACACATACACACCCTGAAGCAGAGTGTAATGTGCAGGAGATGGAGTGTTGCAAGGTAAGATTTCTATACTTTGGCAGCAGTTCTTCACTCAACATACAGCTTTTAAAATGATAATTTACACACCCAACATGGTGTAAATCATAGTTTTTCCACAGAGCGTGGCTTTAATAGAGTAATTTATAACTGATCATAGATATTTTAATGGATGGCAAATCTTTTGTTTGCAATCACTCATAATTAGCTACCTTTATATTTAATCATATGCCGTCAAGTTCACATGCACTCACCTCAGAAATCATTTAGGCCAGTTTACCAAATTATTATTATTATTTTTTTTTACTTTGAATACATTCATACAGCGTTGGAACTTCTATTGAGCTTTTATGCCCGTTTTCAAGTACACCAGGGAATCTACTCTCACTTTTCATCCCTGTGCAACAAGGGCAGAAAATGAGGGAGAACAGTGTCAGTGTGACAGAGGGGGAATAGGTAGCAATAAAAGGAATCTATTCAACATGGGACCCAGACAGCAATCAAAACCTGACAGTTTCTAACACTACTTACAAGCTTGCCTTCCTTGAACATTGACAACCAAGTTGTCCGGCGCCGTGCTGTACCCGCTTCGAGGACCTGTCATCCACTGATGAGGCAATGATGCCACTCATGGGCACAGAAGTTGCATGGTCCCCGGCACCATTCACAGCATCTTACAAATGCCAGGAATGAGCCATGAGAGTACACGGCACATGCGCAGTACAAAATACACCAAAAATAAACATTGATGTGTAAGAGGAAGAAGGTTTTTTTTTTTTGTTGGAATAAGAAACATGCTAATAAGCACTACCTCTTAGCAAATTTTATTTTCAGAGCTTTAGGGCTACTTTAATAAACATTTTACAGTAAAGTGACTTGGATGTGGCAGCTGCATCAGTTTATATCTTTTAGGCTTTTTTAACCTGGTAGTCAGGCCAGTAACACACCTCCTGTCCTAGGGTAAAAATGCTCCCTCCCCATGATGAATCCCATCATTATGTTGGAGAAAAAAAAACAAACCTGACCAAGATGCTAATGTGATCTCCCTTTGATCTATCTGCCCCCGACATACACATGCAGATATGCGTCGGGTGTGCCTACGTGCGAAAACAACAATTGCGCCTATTGTGCCACACATGTTACATACACCTGCGAACGTCGAAGTGTGAGCAATAATTTGAGAGCCATCAATCACTGATAACACTAAACTGATGAGCGGTAAAAGCATTTTAAGCGAGACTGCGAGCCAGGCTCTCTCATCCAACATCAGTAACTGACCTCACAAATGGGCTTCTGGAAAAATGGTCAAACATTCCCACAGACACACTCCTAAACCTTGTGGATGGCCTTCCCAGTAGAGTTGAAGCTGTTATAGCTGCAAAGGGTGGGCCAACTCAATCTTGAACCCCACGGACTAAGACGGGGATGCCATTAAAGTTCATGTGCGTGTAAAGGCAGGCTTTTTCAATAAAGTGTG